ATTGTGCACTGGGCACGTGTCTGGCTGCAGCGTGGATGAGCAGCCCTTGCAGCTGCATTTCCTGTGAGCAGTGAGGTTCAGGCTCATCAATTAATTAACAAAACTGCTCCATACTGGAGAGCAGAATCCCTTGGCTCAAATGCTCCAGGTGCCCAAAGGTTGTGGGCTTCTCCCTCTCTCCCTGCGAGCTGAGCCACATTCACAGCACTCCATGAAGTCCTCGGTGTTTGTGGGCACAGAGCAGGATTTGCCCACTGCTGTAATTGAATCAGCAGGAATGGGAGAAATAACACAAAGTTCTGCAAGGAGTCAGACTGACTGTGGTGGACAGAGGGAAACAGTGCCATGCCTTGCTCTCAGCAGACCATTTGTGTTTCCCCTACTACCTTTCAGTAGTAAAATTACCCTTAACTCTATTCTTAATGTCTGGGGTCAAGATCCTAGAATAAGTATTTCCTGGGGAAAGAAAGGTAGGTTTGAGGAGCAGTAAGTAAATATGGGATATTAAAAGTATAGAAAATTTTACCAGATGTCTTAAGAGGTTTGAAAAATAGCTTAAATCTTTTCAGAGGTTAAAACCTGTTTTTCTAAGTTAGAACACTTTATTTTGCTACAAACCAATTGGAATTAACAAAAACAATTTACTCCTATAGATGAAAAAACAACATGTGTATGCATCAGGTTTCAGTTTAAACTCCATGAGACTGCAGAGGCTGTAATTATGTCCTTTCCTTTTCCAAATATTCAGATCACAGTGTTCTCAGTCCCAATATAAGTTTTCTCTCTATATACAAAGCCAGGATGAGGTATTCAGTAATTCAGTATCAATGAACCAGTTAAAAAAATACAATTATTTAACATAGCTGTAAAAACAAGTATGCTGATGTTTGTGTTTATGATCACACAGTGTCTGAGTCTTTGTGATTTTTCCATTTAATTTTTTGATTGTTTGCTGAGTGTCTCCTGCACTGAGCCCTCCTCTTCAGCAGACCCAGAGGAGAACTGGGGTCCCTGTGGGGACTTCCATATTCCACTCACCTGCTCCCAGTCCTTGGATGAGCAGCAGGATCGTGCACACATTTCATATATTAATGACTTTATCTGCTGCAAATCGTATTGCCCCTCAATTTAAACTGGTCAAATACGTCTCCAGTGAGTGTAGCAGGATTGATTTGTCCTGAGTTGTAAGCAGCAAGATTTAGCCTCACGTGTTCGCACTTGAGGCCTTTGCTCAGGTCAGCTCGCTGAGGGTCAGAAGAACAGCAGGAGTAACAAGAATAAAACCCTGCTGTAATAAATGTGATCAGAATGAGCTGTGGTGGGCCATGGCGCTCCCCGGCAGTGCTGCAGCGGGGCTGCTGCAGGACTCAGCCGTGCTGTGCTCTCTTGCAGGGCGTGGGGGTGTGCGGGGGCAGCCCGGCCGGGCTGGGCACGGCCTCGCCCCGCCAGTACCCCCGGCAGAAAATCACACGAGTCAACCTCAGGGACTTCATCTTCTACATGGAACAGGAGCGAGAAATGAGCCGTTCCCTCCTGCTCTACCGAGCTCTGCTTAAATAAAGCCAACAGTCCTACTGATTGCTCCACAGAAGCTCAACTTGCTTTGAAAGCTGTCATTTTAATGTGCCTTCTATTTTTTTCAGAAGTCAATGTTCCGGTAATTTTGTTTTGTAAAATTGTCAGACACATGCAATAAATTCCCTTTATGTAAAATATATATATATATATATATATATAAACGACAAAAAAATGTGCAAAAGGTTTTAAAATGTTAACTCCACAAATAAAATCAACATCAAACTCTTGCTCCATCTGGCCATTTTAGGTAAGACTGAAGTAGCTGGTGTTGAAGTTACACAAATGCAATGGCTCAGCTAAACCATCTCCTGGCCAGGCGTGGGACAGGGTCACAGGAGTGAGTCCCAGCCTTGGTGTTCACCTGAGTGTTCCTCCTCGTGCTGGACTTGTTTTGTTTTCAGTTTCCTAGCACTGTCTCACTAACCATGGTGATACCAGTTGCTATTTGACTTAGTTGTAATGGCAATTTTTTGCACAGCCAAGAGACTAGCCACTGCACACTCCTACAAATTTTATATTTAGGATTTTTGCTTTTACTGCACAGCTCATTTCCTAAGCCATTTGCTGAACCAAATCTTAAGTGTATGAAATCTGTGTGCAGGCTCTCAGCTGAGTTACCTTGACTTGCTTCCAGTTGTTTTCTAAATCTCATCAACCTTTTGCGCATTTGTAGCAGCTGGTTAGTAACAAGATTCAAAGTTGGGTTTTATTTTCTAAAAAAAATGTTAATTTATTTATTGCAAATAGTATGGTTTAATGTGGTTTTAAAAGAGAATATTGTTGGGTAAAGATTTGAGAGTATTCTATGTGGATTTTTAAAGTTGCTGTAAAGGTTTTTGGGGGCCGCTTCCACTCCTGGAGTGGGGAGAGCAGTGAGCCCAGTGGCACCTGGAGCGAGGACACATGGACCACGGCTCCAGCCAGAGAGGCTCCTGAGCAGGCACACGGCTTTAAGCATGAGGAGCAGCTCTAAGTACCTAAAGGTGGGGTGAATGCCTTTTAAATGCTTTGCTGAAGCAGAATTTGGGCCCACACGAAGCCGAGTGAGGCCGGTGTGAGTCTGAGAAATGGGGATCGAGTGGGGCACGAACAGGCAGGGTGCATGAGCTGTGCTGCAGTCAGCAGTGTTACAGTACCACAAGGGAGACATTTGCTTATTTATCTTCTCCATTTTTACTATGTTATGCTTGCCACTTTTTTGAGGCAATATTTTTTTTGATGGGAAACCATAGCGAAAGCACAAATAGAACTATTTGTCCAATAGTTTTAAAAACAAAGGTTTTAATTATTTTTTAAGGTTTATGAAAAGCAGAAGAAAATTTATACTGCTGCTATTTAGCCAAAAGATTATTCATAAGGTATTTAAGGCCAGGACGTGTAAAGTTATGTTTTAAATGTATTGATAATTTGTACATATGTTTATAAAGGCCTTGTGTTTATTAGAGTTACGTTATTTTGATGATTTCTGTACATACTGGTAAATACCCCCAATTTGTGTGAAAACATACTCCCTTATTTGTACTTATTTTGTAAAGAAATAAAACAATTTACTAAAGTAACACATCGAGTGACATACAGTATTAATTTATCAAACATGAATTTCACATTGTCTTGTAGTTCTTAAGCACTGGTCAGAAACATTTTGCATTAAAATATTAACAGAATACCCACAAACAAATATTAAACCCAAAAACTTCAATGTTTTGTTGTGCTGATTCTTATCCTTTGTGAAACGTCTAATAAAATTGTCAACAAAGCTCGGTGCCATCAGTAGAGAGAATGGATGCACTCAGCAGTGGCTGTGAGGAGCCAGGAGCCCATAAGCACAACAGAACATTCTCCCTCACTCTCTTGAGCTGGGACAGCGTGGACACAAAGTGCTCCTGGAGCTCGTGCTGGTCCAGCGACAGCGACCCAGAACAGTTCTGCTCAGTGGCACCAGGGAAACACCAGGCTGTGCTTTGCCTCTTGGCCTTGGCCACGCAAACGTGTGCTGGCTGCACACCCCAGCTTCACTTTAAAACACCTCAGTGATGCTGAGCAATGTTCTTCGTTAAGTTACCTTGCTGTGGTTTAAGGCCAGAAGTAGATATTCAAATCAGTTTTTTGTTGATATTGATGCCTAAAAATACAGGGAAATAAGTAAAAAATATATAAATGAAACTGTAATAATCTTTAAATAAGTGACCTGAAGTTACTAACTAAAAGAACACGTCCTAGCTTAACTTTTTCTTTCTTTAAAGGCATATTTCTTCTAAGAAAGTGATTGTTTCCACATGTCTTCCTAGCCTTTGTGCTGTTTTGCAGTCAATGCTGTGATGTCATGGTTTAAACTTTCCATCTCAAGTTCACATTTAACTCGGCTGGCGCAGCCTGGAACCCTTTCCAATGCCACCTCAGCAAAGCTGCCCCAACTACGGGAGCTGCTTTATTGAGCCATAAAAAAATACAGTAAACACCAAACTGAGGAAAAACCAACCAAGCAACCAACCAAGCACAAATACTTCCAACGTTCCACAGATGTGTAAAAGCACCATCCCAGTCTGCGCTCCCCAGAGCTGCCTGGGGAGAGCACCAGGGGCAGGAGCAGGCCCCTGGGATGGAATATCAGAATATCACCTTTATTCCCTGGCTGAGAGGTAAGAACTGGACAGGGTGTGCTGCCAGGAGGGCTCAGCTCACCCCGTGCCAGAGGGCAGGGCAGGAGTGGATACAGGATAAAAACAAGAACCTGAATAGACTATTGAGGGATACTTTGGACTTAAAGGTATGAAAGTAATAAATAAAACACTTCTATCTTTTTGTAAGACGTGGCTACATCAAGCTGGATGAAGCAAAGGGCTGGAGAAGACGCAATCAAAAATTCTCACCTCTTTCAAACAACATGGGAGATACAGTGAGTGTTCCACCCTACGTGCTTGTTTTTGTTCATTTACTTTACAGAAATGTTTATGGCATGAAGTACTGTATAAGAAATGTGCATACACAAATACATGACAATTATACGTTAAGTTCTTTACAATATTAAATGTATAATATACAATTCTACAGATATCTTACATACAAAGGTGAATGTTGTGCCATATATTCAAATATGGCAATGCCTAGCAACTTTAGAATGTCGTACAAGTATAAAACCACAAAATAAAATAACTTTACAACTCTTAAAGTAGACAGATTTGCTCAACTGTTCTGCTAAGGTAGCAGACCAACCGGCCAGGATTGCCATTAGAGATTTCTGAGTTGGGTGACCAAGGTGAGAAAACCTGCAGAGGTCTGATTTTCCATGGACAGGTATCCAGCCCTTTTCCAAAAATTAGACCCCTGCCTGGATTTTACCTTGGATAGTCAGTACAGCTCATTGCTTTTAAAAATACTAGTCTTAAACGTGACTTTTAAATTTTGCCTGATTGCAATCAATTTGTATTAAGAACTGTTGACCACTTAATACTCTGTCCCTTGTTCCATTGGCTATATTTATGCATGTAAAAAGAGTTTAATTGAAATTCATCATCTACAACAGTATTCTATAAATTAATGTGGAAGAAACTAAATTGTGATTAACACATGAATTAGTGATTGAGAACCCAATCATGCTTAACAGCAATAAACAGGATTTAGCAGAATGCTATTTATAGCCTTGCACCTGCAAACATGGTGCTGTCTCCTGAGTTAAAAAGCCCTGTGAGTCAGTGCCAAGTCCTGGCAGAAGCAGGACCCTCCTGCAGACAGACCCCTGACTTTGTTACAGAGAAAGTTACACAGATAGAGGGCAGCTACAGAATTCAAATTTTAATAATAATTTAAAATAATAAAGCAATTTGAACCAAGGCGGCCTGCTTTAATCTGGCAATGGCAATACAGGGTTTTAACAACTCTTCGCAAGAATTCCAGACCCATAAAGAATGGGCTTGTCCAAAATTCTTTAAACTTTTCCTGCTAAATGTGGGCTTCTAACATGGTTAGTAAATGATTAACAAGGGGTGGCTTGTTTGGTAGAACCACGCTTCTTTGATGATGCAAAACTTAACAGTTGCTGTGTCAAAACAAGGTTGGCCTTAAAAGAGCTACAGCTCCTCATGGGGTATGTGACCCTCGTGTGATGGTGGATGGCATTTTATTTTGTGCTTCCAGATCCCTATAGTTGCAAATATTGCCATAAATGGGCCTGTCTAATTTCTTGTCACTTGTTTGGTTTGGTTTGTGGGGGGTTTAAGTACTGAGCACCAGTGACTGTGAATCAGTCCTTTTCTGGTTCTGGATCCTGTTCACAGAGAGAGACCTCAGCTGGAAATGTAGTATAAAAATAAGCCATTTGCTCATGTGGGTGAGTACTGTCACCAGGTGACTGTGGTGCTGGGGTGTGAAGCACATCTGATATGGAGGCGGGGCAGGTCAGGGAAAGTTCTCAGTGCAGTTTTTGGGGTTCTTCCTCCCGCAGACAGCCCCGTCCCCACAGCGCAGCTCTGGGGTGTCCCTGGGCTCCTGCTGGTCGGTTCCACTGCTTCCATGGCTCTTGCTGCAGAAGTCCAGTCCAGGGCCAGGGTTTCCAAAGCTTTGCCTGTTCCACACCACTGCTGGTCAGCCCAAAGTCCATCCCAGCCCTGCCACGCTGGGTGTGCTCAGGAACTCCACCGTGAACGACAGACAGCCGCTTTTCCAAACGCGCTCCATGGCTGGCTATGTGACAGGTAGTTTCAGAATACCACTAATGGGCAACGTAAAGTCCAAATCTGTTTGCTAATACTGTTTTGCAAATCCTTAGTGTTTCACATAAGGGACTATTAAACACTTCTACGGTTACAAAGGGGGCACGGGGAGGGTCTAGTCCAGGGGCTCCTGTTTTATTCTGATTGTTGGGGTGGGTTGTGGTCGTCTGTCTTCGCGACACAGCACGTATTCGCTGAACTGGGAGGAATCCACCCCACCACCACAGGAAGCTGCCACGTTAAATCCCTTCTGAAATAATCTTTCGAGCACCTGCAATGTGGAGGAAAAAATCAGATTAATATTTAGCAAATTTTACTGATAAAAGCATTCGGAAGCACCAGATTTAAATGATGGATTTAGTCTTTTGAGTTCTCGTTGAATGAATATTATTCGGCTATAATTCTATAACTTATTGTTAAATGACTATACTGTGATTAAAGTCTTGCTCTCAGCAAACCTCTCTAGAAAACAAAAATTAATCAAAGAAATAAGCACTCTGCAGCTTAGTACATTATATAGTAAAATACTGGACTTAAAATCTCACTCCTTATAGAAAGCAACATCAGGTTTAAGTTCTAATAAAAAGTGCCAATTATTCATTAGTAATATGAACAGTCTGAGAGAGGGGAGCTGAGAAGCTCTTCCTTGGCAGCTGAAAATGTATTAGGAGTTCAAATGACACATCCACCAGATCTTTGTGGCAATCACAGCTGTTTGCTCTCGCTGGAAGGGAGCAAAGCATGGCAGGAACAGGATGCAGAGCCAGGACTTGTTCTGGCCCAAGAAAGAGGATATGTACTGCCCAAATATGTATTTTCTTTTTCTCCTCCTAAAGAAAAGTTGATGTAATTTAGATGCACGAATTTAAGGAACCCAGAGGCAACTTTAATTCCTGTGACTATCACACAGCAGATTTCCCCAGGATATACTGATCCTGGCACTGGGAACGGGGCTGTTTTCCACAGGCGTGCTCGTGTTGATATTCAGCTTCCCAGCAGAGCAGGACACACCAGGCTTCTCCCAGAGCCAGGTGAGGGCAGATGCCAGATCCACCTTGGGCAGATCACAATGCAGGACCCGCTCAGGCTCTCCTGAGTCCTCGGCAGCAGCCTCGAAAAATGGTTGCTGTGTTTTTCTCTGCTGATAAATACCATAAAGGAGCAGCCTGTGCTGTTCTCCAAGAGCCTCGCCCAAAGTGTGACTCCCACTGTGGCAGCACGAGGAACAGGGAAGTGATGCCATGCTTTATTAAACCCAAGGATCCTGCTCACAGCAGCACCAGCACCGTGCTGAACACACAGCAACCTGGACCAAGCCCTTTACAAACTACTGCTTCATCCTAGAGAAGTGTCTAAGCAACACATCCACCTCCAGACAGAGTCAGCTTGTGCCTTCCTGGGCTTAGGTTCTAGAAGGAGTTTGGTCTGTGTTCAGTTTGCTGTGAGCACTGCCCCTGCCCTCACACAGCCCCACCAGAGGCCACCGTGCGTTGCTCTGTGCATCATTTCTGAGTGTTGGCTTTGCTTTTTCCAGGAACGTGATTTTGGAAGCACAGCTGTGTCCAAGGTGGTGTCCTAGTGAATGCAGACCATGGCAGCAGCATTTGCTGCCTGTAATCCATTCGATCCCTCCTTAGGGGGTGCCTGTGTTGTGCATCTGCATTTAATCCAGGGTTTGGCTTTCAGGGCTAACTGAAACGTTTTTCTCTTGCTACCCTGGCTCCAAGGACGGGCAAAGGAAAGAGGCTGTTCCAGCAGAGCTTTGCCTAAGTCATGCCGAGTCTGCTGGAAATCAACTTGCCTGAGGAGTTCTGCCTGGCCCTGGGACACAGGGACTTAACAGAAAGCCACATCTGCCAAATCTCTCTGACTTTTGCCCTGATTTTTACATACACTGCAAGAAAGTAGTAGAACTGAAAGATCAAAAAAGCACACCAGAGTATGGAAGAAAAATGAAGTGGGAGAGAAGAAAAGGAAGAGGCAGGAGAGTGGGTTAATAAAATACATTTAAGACAGAGAAAGAAAGCTTTCATCCCTCTTATTCACCCAGGCTGAATGGGGCCTGTAGGACAGAAATGGGGTGCGGACACCAACCTTGTTCCTCCTCAGAGGGGAAGGCAGGAGGAGTCTGAGACTGAAGGAGGAATAAGACATCAGCAGGCTGCTGTTTCACAGGCTGGAATATATTCTGCCTGTATGATCACTGCTCCTAGCCCTGACAGGATGAAGATGAGAGACAATCCAGCCATGGGAAAAGGGGCTTCTCCAACTGAACTGGATAGTGGAACAGAGGATTGGCAGGTAAGATTTCTGAGAGAGATGGGACTTCAAAATCCTTGCTAAAAAGTTTTTTAAATCAATTTGCTTCTAAGACAAAACAAGCAGGGGGGTGCCCTTGGCTTGCCTCAGACCAAAGCTATGGTAAGCTGGATGTTAACAGAGGATTCATTTTCACAGAGCCTCTCTGCAAACACCCAGTCCAGACAGACACTGCACCTCAGAGCACCGTGCCAACAAAGCCATTCCTTCTTGCTCAGCATCTCTGGAAGGACCAGACTGCAGGCTACAGTCTGGTGTTAAAATCCTCAGGATCATCAGTCTTCTCAGCAGGAAACAGAACAGGCCAGGTGCTGCGTGCAGTGCTGAGGATGTTTAAATACTGCACTTTTAAGTGTCACTGGGATGAGGCTGAGCTCAGGTCTAGGGAGAAAGGCTCCTTTCAGTGTTTCCATGCATGAGACTGAACAGCATTTTGAACATGGACAGGTTTAAATCCCATTTAGAGAATGGGATATAATTTGACCCTATACACTTTATTTCTTCTGAAGGTAAGATACAAACAGGGGGAAAGCAGTGATCATCTCTGCTACTTTGTTGAAAATCTTCAAAGAGAATATGCCAAAAGCTGAGTATCAGCTGTGACTCTCCCATGTACAGGGCCATATGCACATTATTAAACAGAGGATTTGTGCTCGGATTTAATGTATGCTGTCTTCCAATATTCCAAGCACATCTGATTTTGTTGGGAGGTTTTCCAAATGGAAACCTGATCCCTTCATTTAAATTGTACAGAATATTAACAAATATATTCTTAATTATGAAGACTTAATGTTCAACATTCACAAGCATCACAGAATTTTCTCTAAGGTAAATTCATTACTCCCACCAGAACCTATTGCAAGGAGTTGGAAAAACCTATACCTATATATAATTACAAATGGGTGTACAATTAAGAGTTACTGTATTATTTTTTTGCCTATTAGGTATTGATGTTCTTTGTTTTCTTGATATAAAGCATGTAATGACAATATTCTTCAAATATAGAAAAAAAGTATAAATATTGCAACTGTGCTACCAAATACATAGACCAGAGGATAGGGAGGCAGAAATAATGTATCACCTGAGCAAACAGCAGACAGGGTTCCTGTGCTGCTCTTTGGGATTCTTTGCAATAAATTCTGCTCTTCCAACCATTACCCATTTCCCTTAAGTCTGTGCATTTGCCTCACTGTACTTCCAACTTCTGACTTAATCCTGTTTTGCCAAAAAATCCTTGGAGGGGGAAGAGCAGTGCCTGTGTGCTGACCAGAGTTCATCAGAGCCAATGCTAATTAGCTGCTGAATTCATCAGCCTTTGGTCTCAGAAATGCATCATTTTCCAGAAAGTGTCTGAAAACACTTTCTATTAATTATATAGTAAAATGATGTAATTTAGTAAAATGATGTAATTTAACAGGGTTACTTATACTGTAGACTCTTTGACAGAAATTTCTTCCACAACATGAACTTGCAAAGAGACCCTTTGATTCTGTCTGAATTTTGACTGAATTCAAAACACATTCAAATAATAACAGTAATTAGTGCTCAGCTTTTAGTACACATATAGCACATGTATCCCAGGAGTCACAGCACTGGAAAAAAGAGCTGAGTACTCAACCATGTGGGCACCCAGAGCTCTGCCAGGCACAGCTGGGCTGCTCACCACAACCCTTTATGGCTTCAGCTCCTCTCATGCCTTGTGTGACCTCAGAGGGTCCCTGGGCAGCATGTCTGGGACACAAATGCTCTCCCAGCCACTCAGCCTGGCTGAACTGCTCCCTCCTCCCAGCACAGACCGGGGACACCTCCCTGTGCCACTGCCAAAACCAGAGCTGCCTCTGAGCACCCCCACCCCAAACCTGCCACGTGTGAAACTGCTCAGGACTCCGCAGAATTAACCACAGCCTGCTGAAGTTCAACCAAAGACACCTCTGGGGGGGAAGTCTTGACCCAAAGCCCACCTGAGCCCACAGGAGCTGGGCTGGTTTCAGCCAAGGGGGCACAGGGAACGCTGCCCATGCAGGGGGGTCACTGTTACCTCCACCCACCTTTCCACACTCACAGAACTCTCCTGAAGATGTCCCTTGGCAGCCTGGGAGACTGCAGGCTCCCCTCCCAGCCAGCCTGGCCACGGACCAGCCCTTCCATGGGTTTTTGCCCAGAGGGGAGTTTATCAAGACAGCCATGGCATTTCCCACAGCCACAGCCCATCTGCAGAGGATGGGAACTCCCCTCTAGGCTGATTTCCCTTCCCAGAACACGGCATTTTGAGCAAAGGAGCACAGAGGGAAAGCGAGAGCTCTGCCTTGCCCGTGCTAATGAAAGCCCACGTTAAGGGCACCTGGTTCCTCCCCAGAGCCCCGGGACAGCACAGCAGCAGAGCTCTGGCTGCAGCTCTGCTGATCCCTGACATGTGGCACTGCCTGCCCACGGGCTGCTGCCTGAACACAGACCACCTATTTATTCCTGCTGCCACCCACCTATCTGTCCAGTTATCTGCTTTTGTTTCATATGTTTAATTTTAAACCTAATGTCAAAACTCCAAGTATAAAATGAAATACATTTTTGTTTAAAATACTCTGGGCAATTTTTATAGAACATCCTTTTGAAAAAAAAAAAAAGTGCAGAGATCAATTTTTTTAAGTCCATCCCGCAGGCACCATCATTTAATTATGAGTGAGACATAAATTATGCATTTACACATTGTTGCATTTTCTATAAAATGGTGTGGAGATTTTTTTTTTTTGTAGTTTTTGGAACTCTCTCTTTCTTCCTAGAGGCACTTTGGAGGGAAAAAAAAAACTGCCAAAGGCTATACATTGATGAAAAAAATTAGCATTTATCAGTATAACACCATTATGAGGCCAGCATGGCACTAACATACACAAAATCTAAATGTATTTTTCTGCTTAGACTTAGGAAAACCTGAAAGACTGTGATCTCACCAGGCAGAAAAATGTTTCCTTGCAGTATAAGCACTGAAAGTAATTGGGCAGAAGCAAATAATTTGCATATAATTGAAGAAAGCATAGCAGAAAAGCAGCCCAGAGCCGGAGCAGGCAGCAGAGGTTCATTACCTGCACGGAGTTCAGCCGGCAGTACCCGTTCAAGGGAAACCTGATAACGTGGGTGGGGTCCTGGTTCCAGCCCGCGTTCACCGAGTTGCACATCACATCCCCCGTCTCCGGGAAGATCTCTTCTATCAAAGCCTTCTCCCCACTCAGTGCAATTCTCTCCCCCAGATCTGGAGTCACTCTTACAACCAAGCAGTCACAAGGCTGGAAATGTTTCCTTTGTTCTTTCTCTTGTTTCCATCGCTCAAGTTCCTTAATCATTGGCTGCAGCTGGTAATACTTTGCTTCTTCATATAAAAGATTAAAGTCCTGGGAAAAAAAAAAAAAAGGAAAGGGAGAGAGAGAAACTAGAAATGCTTATAGTTCTCTTTTAAAAATGAGTATTGTTCCTGTTTGACCTACTTAGGCTAATGTATTGTCAGCAAGAGAGCAAAGGCAACAGGTACCCACGTACTTACACCTCCACAGAAAACCTCACGGTGCTGGTGTTGAATTGTTTGAGCTGAGTGAGAAGTTCCCATTGCACTGATTATCCTTTCATTTATTATCCCACAAGCTCAATGCCAGAAGGCTTCACTCTTGGGTTAAGAAATCAAAATAGCTGGCTGCAATAACCAAAGCTCACTGCTGTAGGAGAACACGTTCCAAGCCCTGCTCCTCACTCGCGGCCTCGGCCACTCTGATCTCAGCGCAGATCTCCGGCTCCGCTCACACCCGCTACGAGATGGAGATGTCAGTTCAGCTTCACTTCCCTCCTGCCTGTGCTGAGGCTGAAATTCAGCTACAGCAGCTGAGCTGCTGCCTGCACTTTATGACTATTCATGTATTTCAAGTGTACTTTTGGAGCCTGGGAAATTACAGAGGTGGTGACCATCCTGCTGGCTGGGAGCTCGGCTGTGTGCTCCAAGGGCTGAAAAGAAGCAGTTCTTCCCTGCCATTTGTCCATCACTTCACTTGGGCTTTGGGCAATTCAAATTCCCAATTTGATCCAATTCCCAGTTCAGTGATTGTTTCATCAGATTCTGACAGATGTTCCCACCTCAGCTGAAATACCTGAGGGTCCGTGGAGGCAGAGGGTGTGAGCACCCCCAGCCCAGCCAGATGAGGAGCAGAGGGACAAGGCCCCCGGGGGAACTTTGCTCCCCCAGCCTCCTCCAGCCTCTGAGAGGAAGAGGAGCACCAAGAGCTCAGCTCCTCCTGCAGACCTGGCTTTGCTTTCCCTGCTCCCGCACCTCTTTACACACCCCAATGCTGCACCACAGGTGCTTTTATGGGGTGTGCTGGAGGTCAACACCTGGGACAAAGGCCAGTGTAATGAAAAATAAATGAAAAGAAAAATCAAGATTGAAATGACTGAGATCATTTGGCCTGGAAAGAATGATAGGACAAGAAGCAATTAAGAAGTGGGCACCAAAATCACCTGAAAAATAACGGGTGTGCTGCTGCCCCAGGACTGGGGGAAGAGGGGAAATCGAAGGCCAATGAACATGCAGCACAAAAAGGTGTGACTCTGCATAGTGGTTTGGAATTAACCTGTAAAATCTCCTGCTGCAGGGTATTACTGAACCAAAGCAGTTATCTCTGCTCAAATTTGGCACCACAGACCCACTGGTAGTGGAGGTGCTCCTTCACCCCAGGGCTGCCTGCAGCCTGGAGACACATGAATATTCACAGTGACAGGGCAAGGTGATCGACTTACAAAAGGGACAGCCAATCCTTTACATCTCTTTGATGTCTGCTGAGGTTGGGACAATGTGCAGACAGCTAAGAGAGAATAAAAGGACTGGAGGATAAGAGGAGCAGGGAGGAAGAGGGATAAGAGCGAGTGGGAAGAAATGAGGGCAACAAACACTCTCACAGGACAGCCTGAAGATGGAAAACACAGACGATTAAAGAAGAAATCATGCAGAGAGCATGCTGCAAACAACCAACAACCAGTGCTGGGAACAGGCCAGGCAAAGAGCTGTGGAGGCTGCCTGCACAACCTGGGCTCAGGTAAGACAGCATCAGCCCCAGAGCCTCATCCTCTGATGGAAGGTATTCTCACCCTTCCCAAAGGGATTAGTAGCCTAAATAAAAGAAAAAAAAGAATTCTGAAGTCTCTGTGCAGGACACTGAATCAGCACAGTCTACCACTGAACTGTGTTCACTACAGAGGTGTGTGCAGTGGCCTGCCAAATGTCCACTTGGCATCTGCTGGTGCCATGGATTGCTTTTCCAAGCAAGGAAACATGCAATGCTAAGGAAAAATGTAATGCTGTAGAGTGGACAGGAGCACCCAGTCCTTTCTGAAGGCTTCTGCTGTTTTCAGTAGGTCCTGAAAAACCAGTTTTAGAGTATCTGGGTTCATGGACACTATAAAATAAGGTATTATTTGTAAAATCAATCACGTGAATATGTGCTAAGAAAATTCAACAGTAAAACCTGGAAGAGATGGTACAGTGAGAGAACAGCCCTTCATTTTTGAGAGCAGAGAGCAGCACGAGGCTCCTGAGGCTGGATGCAAAGCCCATTACATTACAGAGTCTCTGACTGCCTTCCCTGGCTTTGGACTAGCCTGACAGTATCCTGAATCACAGCATTCAATGGTCCTGCACCCTCGGGCCAGAAAAGCAATGCCATAAACCAAGCAAAACCCAGATCACACCACCCACAGCCAACTCAGCCCACCCCAGCAACTGCAGCTTTTCAGTGACTCTTGATAGCTTTTGCCCTAAAATGAACAGGATAAATTTTACATTCTGATACCATTTTGTGAGAAGAAAACCTACTTTCAAATGGAACAGCTCTTCTACTACTGTTCCCAGAATGACAGAGCCACACTTCAGGGGCTGTGTGGAAATCAGGGCTGAGCTGGAGCATCACCTGCTCTGTGGGACAAAGGGAGCACCTGTACACCAGCCTGGGCTGAGCCACCGTGCTGGGGTTCATCTCTAAAGTCAGACTCTCATGCCTGTGTCTGCTCCACTCTTGGGTTCAGCACAAATATGGGAAGGGTTGTGCACCTGAAGAAGGGCCCTGGGAACTGAGGTGTGATTTCAGAGATCAGGGCACTACGGTCAGGCAGTGCCAGGAAGGGGAATTTGTTGTGCTGTAGCACAGTAACAAGTGGAGGGGATAAAAAAGAGTCTTCTGCAGCAAGAGCAATCCACTGCTGTCCACCAGTGACAGGGCTGGGAAGGGACACCTTGTGTGACCCACTGCACTGCCCTTGCTCCTCTTATGGGGCATTTGGCCTTTCTGCAGGGAAGGACTGGGGCATCCTGAGGGAATCTGACAGTGTGTTTAGGGAGGGAAGAGGGTTTCACAGAGAAAGGAATACAGAATGAGTGGCTCACAGCATGGGGATCGGGTTCTTGTGGATTCTGCACACCAAGCCCACAATTTTTGCCTTCAGGTTTTACTCATTCTTCAGAGTTCTGCCTGTGACCAGCCTGGGAGAGCCCAGCTCTCAACTACCTGCACTGAATGCTTGGGAAGCCCAGGTAATATTGGCATAGGTGCTTCCAGCCTTGCACTGCAGATATCAAATCCTACCCTGAAGAATTACTTAAGTTTAATAAGAAATGTAAAGCAGAAGAATTAAACCCACAAGAGCTCTTGCCAGGGAGGTGCCACAGGAGCTGATGAGGACATTTCCATGCTGTTAGTTTTGATAAGTTACCAAAGGCAGATGCAGATATGACTCTTCCTGGCCCCATCCAGGAGAGGCACATCCCACTGGCACAGGCAGGGAGTAGCCACAGTGGCCAAAGGCACAGAGTTCACTGAAACTGGGCAGAGCTCCAGGCACAGCTCTGTCCCACAGCAGCCCTGATCCCTGCTCAGGGACACCTGCAGCCTCCCTCTCTCAGGGCCCAGCCTGGTGGCAGGGCAGTGCTGCTGAGCAGCAGGCAGCATTCCCCAGCAGATTTTGTACAATACCCAGGAGTTCTTGTCCTGCAGGACTAATGCATCTCCCATTTCTTACAAGCATTATTTCCCTGTGTTCTCAGCTCCCTGACAGCAGTACCACAGCCAAGCACTATGACAGACAGTGGAACTGCTTCTGTTTAGCCCAGGAACACATTTTGCTCTGGAGGTGATTCCCACCACCAGTGGCAGTCACAAGCAGGGTGCTCTCTGAAAGACTGAAAGGGCAGATAGCCAGTACAGCCTTTAATTTTTCTGTAAAGTACCACAAATTTATAGCTACCATGGACCTTCAACTTCCTGTGCTACTGCAGGAACTAGTGGGAAGTTCTGCCAGGTCACTTGAAGAAGGAAGCAGACAGGTAGGGGGGATGCACACAGCCTTCCTCTAGACACAGCTTCTGGCCTACATTTAGATCTCATAGGAAACATAAACAGATCTTTCAAAGCTGCAGCCTTTTGCCTTTCATAAAATAATTTCCTGCTTTCTGTTCAGTAGATAAGCTTTTTCTGTGGTGGATTTCAAGTGGGCTAAATTCTGGCAGTCCCCTATGAGAAGGGTGGGAGGAGGTGGGAGGTGTGACCTCCAGGCCAGCAGTGCTGCTGTTTCCATGCCAGTGCCAATGGGCTGGGACAGATCTGCTGCCCAGGCACAGCCAGCACAGACTGAGACCATGTGTCCCACACACCTGGTGCTGTTCTCTCAGAACCAAAGACATCCTTTATTTTTGTACCTAATGTTGACTCCTGAACAGGCTGAAATGGCTCTTTCTGTCCATTTTTCACTTGTTATTCTTTATTACATGAAACAACAAACTGTCATCCTAACTCAATGTTTCTTTTATATTTTCAGTGCTGTGAAGATCTGACTCCTGGCTATGAAAGAAAGTTGCTCACTTCTACAATGACAACTGCACTGTTTCCTGAGGTCAGATTGAGAAGACTTGAGATGCAAGCACACAAATTTTGTAACTGTATTAATAAATCAGAGCGGTGGCCCTGTCATTCTGGTGCTACAGGTGATCTCTGTAATCCACATAAAACTCAGATGTCCTGTGCCTTTGTGCTCCTCCCCTCTTTAAAGGGAACAACAAGATACACACTGCCCATGTCTATTTTTGTTTGCTGCTCTCTGAGCAGGGAGTGAGTCTCAACAAGCAGCAGGACAGCTCCTGGCTGTGTGTGCAGGTGGGAGGGACAGAGGGGGACTCAGGGGAGATCAAGGCAGGGCAGTGGGGCACCAGAGGAGGAGCAGCTCCTGTGGCAGCAGCCCCCAGCAGCAGTGGCAGAGCTGAGCTGGCCCCGTGCTGCGCTCACGGTGCCCAGGCTGGGGACTCTGCACCAGGGCAGGCAGAGGGAGCTGGCACCATCACCAGCCTGGCATGGGCTGGCTGCAGAGCAGAACCCAGCCACACACTCAGCCCTCAGCACCCTTCATGTGCCTTAACATCCCCCAAACCCAGGAAAATTACAGCAACCACAGGAGTGCTACTTTCAGCAGGAAGACCTGGGAGACACTTTCAAGTTCTGTCTTAGTAGTAGTTGCAAGTGTAATTAATATTCACTGTAAACACACCACTCAGACTTGATAATAAAGAATCACTAGCCTCGGAACACACACCCCACTTTCTCTGCATCTCAGTGTTAACTTAGTCTGAAAACAACACTGAAATAGCAAACACAATAACGCTGGTGTGGTACTAACATTCCAAACTTTCCAAAATAACCATCTGAGCAGCAATTCAAGTTGAAAAGCAACTTGGCTAAACCTTGAGGCTAATAAACTGCTTGATTAAATTAAGGGGTAAAAACTAATAAATATTCAAAACACTTGATAGTGCTTTGTTTGACATAAAGAACATTTAATGCAAGTCTCACTGGAAAAGCTGTCAGGTTTTATACCTTAAATAGAGCTTTGCATTTAGAAACACCGAGTGATTCCATTTGCTGCCTTTGATTATTGTCTTCTGTCACTTTAATCATGCTGGCAAAATTACACAATTTCTGTGAAGTTAAATCCGTTTACAGTGCAGTTTTAATACAGGTTTACAGCGCATTCTTCTACGCATTTTGATTTAGTTACTCCCTACCTAGCAATGCTTTGCTTTGTTCTTGAGCCCTCATTAGCCTGGGGTTTGCTCTAAAGCTCTCCCAGGAAGGAACTAAATAAAATGCAGTTATCCCTGTGCAGAGGGATGGTGTGGAGCAGCGGGCACAGCGCCGGCCCCGAGCCTCCAGCCAGGCTCGCTGCACAGACAAGTCCCTGGCACCCATGGGCACCCTCCCCTCCAGGCTCCAGCCAAATCCTGCTGCTTCTGTGACTGAGCACCTCTGAAATCTGGATGCTGGTCAAGGCATGATCAGCTCAAACAACTTCTCTCTTCTCTCACACCCTCTCTTCACAGAATCACAGAGTCACTGGGTTGGAGAGACCTTCAAGGTCATCAAGTCAATCCAGCCCAAACACCTCAACTAAACCCTGGCACCCAGTGCCACATCCAGGCTTTGTTAAACACATCCAGGGATGGTGACTCCACCACCTCCCCAGGCAATCATTCCAGTACTTCATCACTCTTTCCATGAAAAGCTTTTTCCTAACATCCAACCTCTATTTCCTTTGGTGTAGCCTGAGACTGTGTCCTCTGGTTCTGTCAGTGCTGCCTGGAGAAAGAGCCCAACCCCAGCTGAGCACAGCCACCTTTCAGGAGCTGTGGAGAGTGATGAGGCCACCCCTGAGTTTCCTTTTCTCCAGGCTGAGCACTCCCAGCTCCCTCAGCCATTCTTCACAGGGTTTGTGTTCCCAGCCCCTCACCAGCCTTGTTGCCTCTGGACACGCTCAAGTGTCTCAAGGTCCTTCCCAAATTGAGGGGCCAGAGCTGGACACAGCACTTGAGGCTTCTTCTCCCACTGTCCCACTGGATTGTCCAAAACATGGCTGCTAAAGCATCTCAACTGTGCCTCTCCCACTTTCCATCCACCCCTTCCATGACCCATCTTACAACCCCTGGGACTGCTCTGGTCCTCAGCTTCACTACTACACACAGGTTTTCTCTCACTTCTCTGCAGAGTTTTCTGCCACCCAGCCCTCATCCCTCTGGCTCCCTCCCATCCCACAGGGCACTTCTCCAGCTCATCTGCCACTCACCAGGAACACCAGTGCTCAGGAGTGCCCTTCTGGGCTGGAGCTCAAACCGGGACTGCCAACCTGCCCCTGCCTGAGAACCAGACTGGAGCTGCAGACCCTCCCACGGGGGGTCAGAGATGACAATCCCCCCAACTCAGGTGAGAATGGCTGAGCTGGCAGCACGAGGACCAGCTCTGCTCCAAAGCAAGAGCCACCACCACTCTGGACTCACTCAGTCCCAACTGGCCAAGTGATCCTGTGGCCTAGCCGGTAAAACAAAGGGAAATGGCATTTCAGAGAAAGCAGCAGTTTTCCTTCCTAGCAATGCTCTGCATCCTCTAACTGAGCAGATCCCCAGCTGCCATCCCAATTTATTCATCATTTCATCCTGCAATAAGGGTTTTTGTTGAATCTTGTCATCTACAGTTTGGACACTTTTGTCTTCTAACTTTCATACAAGAGGGTGACAATGTTGGAAGTTTCCTAATTGCAAAGCCAAACAAACAAGGCCAAAGGAGAACCTTTAAACAATCAGGGCCTGCAAAGAAGCACCCAGCACCATGACTTCATACAAAACATGTCCTGCTCCTTAAAAAGCCCTCAGTCAATTCCATCTCCCAAGAATATTTTGACATTAACTATGAGCAGATTAATTCCTGAAATCAAAGTATTTGCTTTGGCTCTGTCTAACACAAATCCTCATGGGCTTGTTTAAGGTTTTCTTTTTTATACCAACAAGAAAAAGATTTACACAGTTCAAGTTCTCTATATATCAATTTGGAAACATTTCTTTCAGATTCTGAGCATTAAACCCTGCTAAGTGCACGTTGCTGATGTTGCTTCTTAATTGTTGTTATACCCTGATAAATAAGCTAAAAATGTGAGGAAATACAATTAGTTTAGAAAAACTGATTTAGCTATAAGCTTCATTGTTTAGCTGTTCTTGGTATCCATAACAACCACTGGTCCATTTATTAAATAATAGCATCCCTGGTGTAATACACAAGTACTAAAAATCCTAACAAATAAACAGCAACATTTAGTTAAGTGTGTTTAAGTCAAGCATACAAACCAACCTGCCCCAAAATAAATGACAGAACGGGAGGAGAAAACAGATTGCAGACTATAGCTTTCCTTACCTTAAAGTCATCTGGGAGCAGTAGCTTAGATGTCCTTAGGAAGCTTAATATATATCTGAAAATTTCCCCATCTCGATCAATGAAATAATGTTGTTTTAAACTGTCCAGGACAATAGGCTCTGTGCCATTAAACAGACGACTTATTCTGAAAAAAAGAGAAGAAAAAAAAAAGAAATGGGCAAAAGAGACAAAATCTCATTACAGCCTTGGGGCTTAAGAACAACTGATTTAGGTGCATCAATTCAATGTGCACAAGGTAATGCAGGTGCTAATTTGGTGCCCTGGGTAGGGCAGTGGCCCCACGGCTGCCCTGGCACAGGGATCCAGGTGAGAGCACGAGTCCCTGGCTGGGACACATCCCTGTCCTCCATCCTGCCAGCAGGGAACCGAGGGGCTGCTCCTGGCCACGGGCTCGCCTCCAGCTTGGCTGGCGTTTGATCAAACAGCACCCAAGGCTTTCTGTGCTGAGGGAGAGGCTGCCCAGGCACTGAGATGGGCTGTGGGGGCCCGGCAGTGTCCATCCAATGCAGAATGTTCTGGAAAACCAGAAACCACAGGCCCATGCAGCCCCACAGCCTGTGGGACCGCAGTGTCACCACCAGCAGTCCTGGGGATGAGCCTGGCAGGGGGAGAGCATCATCTCAAATCTTTTGTGAGGGGAAAAACCAGGAGCAAGACCTGTGAGACCGGGGGATCAGCTCATTAGGGGACCAAAGGACCACATCAGCTACACCATTCCAGGTTTTCCAGTCCCAAGGAGCCTGCTCCAGGGAGAACAAACCAGGCATCTGCCTGGCTGCCGCTCCTCCAGCCTCTCCCCTCCAAATGCCTGCCTTCTCTCACAAGGCTTTGTCTTCCCATGAGAAATAACCCAGCTGAATATATGTTCTTGAAAGGGAAAACGCAGGAGACAGACAGCAACGACCTATTAAGTAATTGAGTCCATCTCTCTGACAGTGCAGCATTGTTCCCAACTGCAGAGTGTCTCGTCTTTCAAAGTCGAGTCTTAAATAATCCTGCCACTGAGGACTCCTCCATTTCCCAGAGAGACCATCCTACAGCTGGCTGGATTTCACTGTCGAGCTGGCCCTTCAAAGCCCCCACGAAATCCCCCACGAAATCCCCCGTGTGTCTCGCTGAGACCAGGGCAGGGCTTTCCCCTTCCCTGGAAAACAAGCTCATCAAGCCTTGCTGCAGGCTGTGTCCAGCACTGCTGCTGAATGCTGCAGCCACAGCCTCGCATGCTGCAGCAACAACCTCCAATGCTGCAGCCACAGCCTCCAATGCTGCAGCCACAGCCTTGCATGCTGCAGCCACAGCCTCCAATGCTGCAGCAACAACCTCCAATGCTGCAGCCACAGCCTCCAATGCTGCAGCCACAGCCTCCAATGCTGCAGCCACAGCCTCGCTGCCTCCCTCCTCCCAGCACCCCCCAAGCTTCCAGGCCCAGCAGCGTGGGGAGCACCTGGGGGTGATCCCAGTGCCCACCCAGGTGCTGGGAAGGGGCAGATTCACTGCCCCACTGCCGCTCCTGCCTGTGCTCTGGGCCCTGGGCCACAGCTGCACCTTGTTCTGATCTCCTAACTTGCTAATATGGTTGTAAATGTATTAATGCACCATTTATATCTAAATAAAATGTGGAAATAATAAATAAAACTGGACTTGGTAAATCTCCGCTGAATTTTGCTAAAAAACCTTTTTGCCCTATAATTAAGGAAGCGCCAGGTTTTACTGCCTGCTCTCATGCCCATGCCAGCACACAGCTAGTCTGGGTTACTTGTGAGAATAACCAAGTGCTCTCCTAAACCCTGATTATAACATTTACTGTTTTCTCCGACCTCCAGCATTCCTACAGTATCAGAGAATACCATCCAGTTCACCTGGCCACATTTAATTTTTATAATCACAAGGTTCACTATGACTCCTGTAATTCACTGTGTCCTTTTTTGTTGTTATTTTAGGACCCTTTGCCCAAGACAGTTAAATATACTGCTTTGTACAGTGTTACACTTTATTCCAGGAACCAGACAGTTCATTTATTTCCTTTGGCAGTATGCTGTGCTGGGATACACTGAAAGCAGAGGAAGCACTGATAGCTTAAGGTTCAGTACATACATTTACTGAGTAAATTTGCATGGCTATTGGAAGTTTTGAGATGTTACATCTGAACAAGCTGAGCTGTGGCTGAACCCTCCTCCCCTCTGCTGCCCTTTCTCTGTGGAGTCTGCAGAAGCAAAGCTGCTCTGCTCTGCACAGGCACGGGGGAAGGTTTGCCAACAACGACAGGGTGCAGAGAAGATGGGGTACAACATTTTAATGGACCACTCTTTAACGTAGTAAAGCATTTTTTTGGTAATGAAAACAAAACATGAATTTTGAGGCTTCACTTTGTGGAGTGCCCTGAGCTGTATTTCTTCACCAGCAAAATTACTGCTGGGGAAAGAAACTCACAGAGTGTTGAAAGACTTAACTGCCACCCCAAAAACAGAGTGATGAATAGTTTAAGGATTTATTTGACATTTTAGGGGGCTGCTATGTTCCAAGAACCAACTTCATTGCAGCATGTTGTAACGCTGCATGTGGAAAGAGCTCCTGCTCCTCCCGTCTCACCAGTTGAAACCATACCTGGAAAAGTCCTTCAGAAAATGCAATGCTGTGAGAGCACAAAATGAACTCAAATGGACAGTTCCTGACAGGATTGCTCACCATGTGTGAAGCTGTGGGAAGAGCTCAGTGACCAGGAGTAGCTCCACGCTCTGCACCGGGACACGAAGCTCTCCGTGGATGGTCACTGGCCAGAATGAAATGCCTCACACAGGGACAAAATGCACTCAGGCTGTCAGAGCTGGCAAGCCAGCAAGAGCAGGGGGACAGGAAGGACTTTGCACTGCCCAGACTTGCTGATGGTCAATCAGAAATAAGGTACAGGCCTGGCTGGCAGCCCCAGGAAGCTGCTCCCTCCGGTGACCCACCATGTGCCATGAGTTAAAAGTCATGGGGAGTTGCTGCAGCTCAGACTGGGCAGCAGTCACCCTGAAAATGGTTGTTTTTATGGGTGATCATGGCACCCAGTACTGTACTGGTGGACAAATTAGCACTTTCAGGAGGCACTTGCTTATGGCATGCAGGAATGGTACTTCCAGTGATGCTGGTGAAGAGGCAGGAGGCACAGGGAAAGGGAGACAAGGCACAAAGAGCTGCACTGGGATCCTGCAGCAAAGGGCGAGTCTGAACAACGAACACTTCTTCAGCAGTCCCACCTTTCTGCAAGAGATGCTTCACTTTCTAATTTAGAAGCACTTGTATAATCTGTGTCCAATATTTAATTTCCATACAGGGAGCAGACTGAGCCAGGACCAACTCCAGCAGTTGCCAGCCTAAGGATGCCAGGCCTGTCTTTCCACTGCCTCCACCACCCTGGCTGGGTCCCGCCGTGTTCACACCATCTGCCCAGAGCACAGATCCTCCCAGGCACCTCTTCTTCCTCCTGGCTCGCTCCTGCCCTCCCAGCAAGGAGCTCTTCCCACCTGCAGCTCTGCACTGCTCTGCAGTGCTGCCCAGCCCAGCCTGGCACCTGGAGCCCTGCCTGGCTGCACTTCTCTGCCTCTCCAGAACAGACCCTCTTGATCCCATTCCTATTGTTTCTTTGTGCTTCTGTTGTTTCTGCTAAAGGCTTTTACATTTTCAATAATGTTTCGCCAAAACGCTGAGGGGCGAGTTTCTAGCTTTGCACCAATTTTACCATGATATTAAGATCTTCTTTTATTAGATTAAAAACAAACAACAAAGACAGCCAACCCACAAGGACAAGAGTGCCAGTAAATTCTTTTCTTAGTTTCTTGGGCAAGGAAAGAAGCCCTGTGCTGCCTGCAAGTACCTACAGAAGGCTGCTCCCCCCTTAATCCTGGTGACCAATTTTCCAGCCTGCAGGCTCCCTGCAGCACCTGTGGAGGCAGGAGCACAGAGGGGGCCTGCAGGGCAGTCAGTCCAGCCCCACAGCAGAGCTCAGGACACACCACCTCCTTCATCAACTCTCCCAGCTCCATTTCAGAAGCAGACAGGGCTTTTGGCACCCCCAGCTCCCTCCAGAGCACCTCTGGTCTTCCCAAAGATCATCACTGAGCACAGCTGTGGCTCTGCACATCACACACAGCTGTTGGGGAGTTTCATGGCACTTTGGAACAGAAAGTTTTTGGGGAGGAGGCAGTTTGCTTTCTGGTTTGGGCCAGTTTAGCTATTTTCTTGACAGCTTTATTTTTAACAGAAAATACAAGTTCTTTCCTAATAAATCTGGTTCCAGAGGTCTTAAGAAGACCACCCAGTTCTGTGGGACCTATTAGACAACCAGCAAGTGGGGCTGTGGCACCATGAGGCCCTAAGGCCCCCAGGTCCCTCTCCTGTGGGGGCCACTGTGGTCCTGTGGTCCCCTGTGCACTGGTCTGGCCAGCACAGTGACACAGCGTAAGTAAAACTCTCTATCACAATATTGCACTAAAAGTATTAATTTAAGTAATTACATGATTAATATTTAAACTGTTCAGTGATATTCTTGTCATTCATAATTTAGTTGTTTACATTTATTAAAAATTGATTTTGTAGACACTTTTTCTGCCCAATGTCAAATCAGCGGGGAACGCACATTTCAGCAAACTGTCATTAAAACGTGTCTCTTTCCTCATTTTGTGGGAGGACAGGGGAAGAAGAGAGAAATGCCTGTCTGTGGGTCCTGCAAACATGGTGGGTCTGTGCTGCACCCGGTGTCCTCCCTGCTGAAGCTGCTGAAGCTGCCCTGTGTGTGCCCTGCTGCCCCAGTGCAAACACACAGCGGAGCCAGCACGAGCTCTGTCAGCTCCCAGCTCTGCTTGGCTTCTGGCTGGGCTGTGGAGCTGGAGGAGGAGGAGGTGGCTGTGGGAAATGGCACAGAGAGGGAGAAGAAGGCTCTTTAGAAGGGGGACACTGAGCATGACCTGAAAGTGCCCTGCAGGACACACCAGCAAAGCTTCCCCAGTGATGAGCAGTGTCCAGGCACTGCTGCTGAGCACAAACAGTGCTGCTTATCTCTCAAATATTTGCTCAAGGTGGGTAGGATAGATACTGTTACCTGCTTGCAAGAGAAAAAATGCCATGAATTGGAGCAGAGGTGCT